ATACATATATATATATATATATGCATATAAATGACTTTTCTATAGATGTAAAGCTTTTGCCAAATCTTCAGAGTTCAGGAACCTCAAAGAACAAACTTCTCTATTATATGTAGATATTGTAAACAAGCATAAGGTGCTATTTACACTAACTGTTTTCATTTAAAATCTGAATATGCCAGGTGTGGTGGCCCACAGCTGTAGTCCCAGCACTCAGGAGGCTGAGACAGGAGGATCGTGTGAGTTCAAGACTGGCCTGAACTACATAGCAAGACCCTGCCTCCAAAACAAAACAGATCTCTGGTCAGGTAGCCCCACCTCAGAAAACTGCAATAACAGCCAGGCTTTCAAGGAACATGCTAAACACAGCAGCACTGTGAATAGAAATACACAGCTAAAGCTAGGATTAGGTAGTTATCATCTATCAAGTGGTAGAGACGGGGGTCTCTGGTTCAGGATGGCCTTTTATGGCAATCCCCCTGCCTCAGCCTCCCAAATGCTGGGATTACAGGCATGCACCACTATGCTTGCCTTCAAGTGGGCTTTAGAACACAGTGGGCTGGGGCCTGCCTAGGCAAACCACGCTGCACTGACTGAAATGGTGCTTCATGGTTGAGACAGAAACTTTAAGTCTCAAAAGTTATTTGGCCAATGTAATGAATAGCACAGGGATCCACCATCTGCTTCCTTTAATGCCCAATCAGAAATCCCGCGAGGGCTGGGTCGGTGAAGGTGTGCCCGGTGGGCGGGGCCCTGGGGTATCGGTTTATAGTTGGGTCACCCTCAGCTGAGCGGCTCAGGCTCAGGATCCACAGCAGCCACGCAGTACAGTGCGCACGCCCAACTCCAATGAAACTTTATTTACAACAATCCAAAGGCTAGTGTGCCGACCCCCAGAAGCGGCCATACACACCCCGTAAAGGGACACCCCTTTAATCACCGTGTAACACCGCCTTCAGAGTAGGGCATCCGCAGTGCAGCTCATAACCAGGCCCGCCCAGCGGCCTCCCTCCACCACCAGTCACCACAAGCTGCCTCACCTGTACGCCAAGAAGGCTACCGGCCGCTGGTGCCCGTGCTCGTCGGTCACGGAGCCCACGCTCGGCGGCTCCACGATGACGTCGTAAATTATTCCTGCAAGAAACACAAGGGCACCGGCCCCTCAGGGCAGACTCCCAGGTTTTCAGATTCGTGTCTCCGTAGTCTCTGTTTAGTCTCTGCAGGGTCCTTTACACTCGAGCAGGGCGACTTCCACTGTGTCCCCGTGGGCAAACGTGGCCCAACTAATCCAAGCTTGGAGGAGCGTGCAGACCTCCGCCCACGGTCAGAGAACACCCGGAGCCGCCGAGGCAGACCCCGGCGTCACTCAGGAGACCACTCGGAACAGGCTCCCGAAAGTGAGTCCACAGGTAGGGAGGCTAACACTGGGGCGTCTACCTCCGCTCAGAAATGGCCCACCCGCTCAGATCGGCCTCTACAACCCAACAGGCAACTACAACATAGAGAAATTTTCTTGCTTAAATATGAAACAAGGAGACATTTTAAAAACACACCATCTGGCAGACTGGCAATCTAGCAATCGCAAACACTAATGAAGGTTAAGGTCCAGCACTCTGCCGGTCACTGTGACCGTTAATATTAACGTCCACCCACAGGCAGGCTCCAACTCCCACTGGTCCCCAGCTCCTTCCCTTCCAGCTTTTCTTTTTGTTTTATTGAGACAGGGTCTCACTACTGTAGTTCAGATTGACCTTGGACTCACTATGTAGCCCAAGCTGGCCTTGAACTCTCAGAGATTCTCCAGCCTCAGCCTCCCTGCTAGGATTGCTGGGATTACAGGTGTACACCAGCTTCTTCCAGCTCTTTTTTTAATACCAGGGATCAAACTCCGCATTGTGCTTACCAGGCAGGTGTGGTGCCATGGAGCTAAATCCCTAACCCTTCCTCCAGCTCTTCTTAAGCATAGCAGGCCTGTGTCTCCGTCACCCTGCCCGAAGGAATAATCACACACGAACTCCTTTATCTTCTTTCCAGGGAATCTACAAACCAAGTGCCTGTCATCCATTCAGTGACAGCAGGAGTCCCTGCTCACCAGGCATGATGCTGCACGCCTGTAATCTCAGCAATGTGGCAGGCTGAGGCAGGAGGACTGCACATGTGAGGCCCAGCTGTGCATTTAAGGGGGGCAAAAAACTCTCAAAAGGCCTGGGGATGCAGTTCAGTGTCAAGGCCCTGGGTTCTATCCCCAGCACAGGAAGGAAGGCAAGCAGGAAAGCAAGCAAGCAAGCAAGAAAGAGGGAAGAGGGAGGGGAAAGAAAAATAAGACAGCCCCTCTTGTCACCGTGGGGTCCCTTCTGTAATGAGAGACCCCTCTCCCTCGTGCCGTCCCGGGATGTCACCCTTCGATGCCTCTTCTCTCTCCTGTCTTTTCAAGCCCTCCTTCCCTCCAGAAGTGCTGCTGGCTTGACTTCATCCTCTCCTAACCCCCGATGTCTGTGCTACCTTTCTACAGGCAGCCAGACCTCCTCCTCACCTCACCCGCCCTGTGGCCCTTGGCTGGTCACCAAACCTCCGTGTTTCGGAGTTGGCGGACACGACACTTTTCAGATGGTTCCCGAGGAGGCTCCCAGCAGCCTCACCCAGGTTACCGAGCCAATCTGCTCGAAACACCTCTTCCTGTTGGGACACCTCCCGCACGTTTCCCAGCTGCCCCTTTAGCTGAGCTTCTTTCTGTAAAACCACAGCTTAAGTCAGAGTGCTCAGGGCTTGGTCCTCCCGTCTCTCTGCGCCTCCCTAACTGCATCCTGGGCTTTATCTCAGCCCGAAGAATCTGACCGCGCCAGGGCCTCTCAAGTTATGTCAGCGCCACTATGGCTGGAGAAAAGCTCCTAGGAACACAGAATCTGCCTCTGCTCTTCAGGGGTGGACCTGGGGGTTCAGGATCATCCGCAAACCCCACAGAGCCAACTAGTCAGAACCCGGGTGACCGCGGGTTCACTACTCCCTACCAAAGACACTGTGTCTTCAGTCTTGGGTAACCGCAGCCCCGATCACGCCGGAAAGCAGAAAGATTCCTTCTTACTGCTCCTCCCGGCACCCACCTACCAAATCTACTAAAGCGACCTCCAACCCACTTCCACGATGTCATCCTCGTCTCCACATGATGCCTCCACCCCGCATCTGCGCACTTCCCTCAGCGAGCTCAGACCCTCTCCAGCCTCCCTGATTTGGGCTCGCACATCATCACTGCCTCAAGAACCACATCCTAATCGAAACGACGTCCCTCACTGTACTTTTCCTTCACTACATCTGTGACAATTTGAAATGGTAAAAAAAAATTGTGATACTTACTAGGTCTCAACTACAGCATGACAAACGTCAGGGCACGGGATCTTTATGTTTTCACTGCTAAGAGAAGTGGTTATCCTTGCTATTTCTTAAGGAAACACGGTGCTTATTTACAAAAGCACACTCACGGGTTTACAAGGGACTCCTTCCCAGCAGCCAGAATGGGGACTCGTACAAGACACCTGCCCATGACCACTGGTAAAAGGCGTCCTCGCTCCTTCCCCGGGCTGGGGCAGAGCGGCTCCCCATTACCACCACCACCAACACAAGTGGCCAGAAAGGAAACTGAGGCTTCCAGCGGAGGCCCTGGCTCCAAAGAAACAAGGCTCACGGGAAAGGCTCACACTTGCGGATAAGGGCTCCGCTATTCATTCAAAGCAAAGCCACTGGCATTTCAAATTTCATTTATTCCACAGTGGCTCTTCAGGTCCTGAGCAAGTATGAATGCTAATGCAATGCCAGGTATTACCTTACCGACATAAAAGATCTTTAAAATGGAACTTATTTAAATGAACATAAGTCAGCACTGTTCTAGTTCGGGGGTGAGGGGTCAAAAAAGAAGCAGAACCACTTCGGCCACTCTTTAGAACTTTGTGGACTCTGAAGTAAGCAGCCACTCTGCAAAGCGTCACGGCAGGGCAGCTCGGTCGGAGCACAGCTTCGGGTCTGCAGGGGACTGGGCGACGCCCTCTGCCCACTCCTGCTTGGAAAGGAGCTGTTTAATAGAAAGGCGTCCTCGGCCTTTAAAAAAAACTCGACTTCTACCCTCTGAAAGACAGCGTGCAAAGCTCGCTGCCAAGCTAAGAACGCGTCAAAGCCGGTATTTCCTGCAGTTCAGGCCGGAAGCTGCAGGACCGCGAAGCCAGAGGCCCGGGGCGCGCAGCCCGCGCCCGAAGCTGACTCCGAGACCTCCG